CCCTTGTAGGGCTATGGGTCAGTGAGGGATGTCGTATCTTGTGATGGGGCCGGCCATATGGTCCTCTCTGTGCATTGGCTGCTCTGAGCAGGGATATGGTCCTCAAGGCTTGGTGGGGCATGCCATTAGGTCTTGATTTCCAATGATTTCCTATCACAAAGCTGTAACACCATATGCAAGTGTTCCCCAGAGTGGGTGATACTACCCCTTGGAGGATGCAGGAATGATTCCGGAGGCTGCAAAAGCAGATGCCTACACTTTATCCAGGAATATGGGTGACAGTATAAAAGTGTTTAATTGCCAGAGGGGCACAGAGTAATCTTTTTTTTTTTTTCCTGAAAAGGGAGCCGTAAGCCAAATAAGTTCGGGAACCTTTGCTGTACCACATCCTTGTACCACTTTCTGCACTTGTGTATCTGCCTAGGATTGAGATTGGGGGATGGGGAGGGCATTACTGGGTCACCTCTGTGGCTTGATGCACCACAGTGCCTCAACCTGAAGCCCACAGGTCTCGTTCCTACTGAAGACCAATCAAATGTCATCTTCTCTGTGGTGCCTGTTTCCCCACAGTGCTCTGGAAGCACACTGTCCCATCATCACATGCGTAGGCTCTGACTCAGCCTGTTATTTTTTGTGACTCAGCTTTAGCTATTATCTTTGTATTCCCAATCCCCATCCCAAGGCTTAGTGGAAGCAGGAACTCAAAGGTTTTCTTGGCTGGCTGGATGCATGAATTAACAAAGGAAGGCACAGTGGTTGGGATAGTCCAGAAGCTGAAGGTGAGCCTGCAATGGGCTTTGGGCGAATCTGCTACCTGGTGCCTTGAACCAAGCAGCTTCTTTAGGGGTCTGTCCCTAGGCAGTCCCATGACCCCTGCTGATCGGGCTGAGTGTCACATCAACGCATCTGGGTGAGTATATGCAGGGGCTCTGGACAGAGTGGAGAAATGTGACCCCTGCTAGATATTCATTGCTATTACAGTGGCCCAGGTGACCTTTGGGAAGCATTGTCAGGTCTGTCTACCGAGGTGCTTGTGAGTTCGAACCACCAACCTTTGAGCACTTAAGGGAGGGACTCTTCTATGGCTAATTCACCTTGGAAGAAGCAAAGTCTGCTGGGGGTGTTGGTTTATTTTTTTTCCTCCCAGCAAGGGTGCACCTCAAGGGCAATTAAGATCAGGTGAAACATCCTGCTCTCTGCTACGCTATTTGAACTCCAGGGAAGCCAACGTTTTCCACCAGGCCTCCTCTTCCCTCCGTGATCCGATGAGCAGCCTGTCTAAGTCTGCAGCCTGGCTTCTCCACACCCGGCCGCCCTAGGTTTTAATGAGGTTTTAATAAGTGGTTCCTGTAATTAATTTCATTCTTGTTTTTACACTTTCTGTCTAGGTGTCTGAACGCCCCCAGGCGCCAGGGGGATGTTAACAGATTAAAAACAAAAGAAACAAAAACCCACGAGGCCCTTGGCCAGCGTTAGCCATCTCCCTGGCTGCTTCGTGTGCAATTGTTTCACCTTCAGTAATTAACTGGCCCAGCAAGTGGTCCGCCCGGTCACCTGCCTGCCGGGTTTTATGGACAGAGAAACATAGGGAAGGAAGGGAGGGACTTTAAATACCGACGCAGTGGGTGTTGAAACTGGCCGCAAAAGCCCCGTCCTGCAAGGGAACGCACCTGGGCTCTCCCGGCGGGGATCCACGCCCCAGGTGAGGTTTGTCACTGGGACTGGAGTCCTCAGGTGGAGGCCCCAGGGGGCCAGCGGCATCTCTGTGCCACAGGCTTGTCACTCTACCGCTAGGACCACCGAACAAGCAGCCCTCAGCAACTAATAGGGACCCCCTCCCCGAAACTCCGCTGGCCCCCTTTGACATCTTTTTGCACGGAGAACGCGGCAGCAATCCCGCCCGCACTAAAGAGCAACAGAATTTTGCTATTTTTAAAGCTGCCTGTTAAAAAGTCCGCGAGCACGGACTCACATCCCAAGGGAACTGGGGACGGGGTTGGGGGCGGGGAGGAAGAGAACGTGCCGGAGAGAACATCGTGGCTCCCGGGCGTCGCCGAGCGCGGCCGCCCCGCGGGGCCCACTGCCCCGGTGCGCCGGAGGCTCTCCAACCCTGGCCCACCTGCGCCCGGGCTGCCCGGCTCCGAGGGCCCACTCCCCTCGCCTCTCCCGGCCGCCGGGCCACCCGGCCCCGGAGGGGGAGGGAGCTGCTGGGGGAGGGGGAGCGGCGAGCAGGTGGCGATTAGGTCAACTTGGGAACATTCCTGGCCCGCTCCAGTGGATATAAATAACCGGCGGGCCGGCTCCAAAAAAGCCAGGGTGGGGGGAGGCGACGAGGAAAGGGTTTATTTAGGGTAGGGTGGCATCGTGATGGTCTGGAAAAGTCGGCTAAGCCTGGCCACTGGCGAAGGAGGTGGCGGGGCGACGGGGGATGGCGGTCCGGACCCGGTGCGCAACCTGGAACCAGAGGGGGGAGGGCAGAAAGCGCTCGGGCCTTCTTGCCCCACCCCCACCACGTGTGTGCCCCAGGCCCCGGGTTGGGCCCCAGATTGGCAGGGGCAGGGCTGGGCTCAGCAAGGCCCCGTCCCCACCGACCGGGCGCTGAGCCTCCGTTTGCACATCTGGACCCTGGGAACCCGACCGCTTCCACGGTGGTCGCTGTGAGCCTCGCACGCGCGCACGGCGAAGCCAGCAGCGCTCTGCAGCCGACCGAAGGCGGGCTTCTCCCAGCCCCCGGGTGCTCCAGGGGCGCCCACCAGCCCCGGCCCCTCCCCGTGCCCAGCGAGCCCTCGCTCGACAGAGAGCTGGGAGGGGCAACGCCGAAAG